GATGCTGATGCTGATGCTGATGATGATGCTGATGATGATGCTGACGATGATGATGATGCTGATGATGATGATGCTGATGATGATGATGATGATGATGATGATGATGATGATGCTGCTGCTGCTGCTGATGATGATGATGATGATGATGATGATGATGATGTTGAGGCGGAGGAGGAGGAGGAGCAGGGCGAAGAAGGGCGAAGGAGGAGGAGGAGGAGGGCGGAGGACGAAGAGGAGGAGGAGGAGGAGGAGAAGGAAGTGAAGAGGAGGAGGAGGAGGAGGAGGAGGAGGAGGAGGAGGAGGAGGAGGAGGAGGAGGAGGAGGAGGAGGAGGAGGAGGAGGAGGAGGAGGAGGAGGAGGGGGATAAACATGGAGCCGAATCCCACCACCTTTCACCGTGGCTCTGGCTGCTCCTCAGAGGCTCCGGATGGCGGCGCGCCGCCAGACGATCTGTTTCTGCCATCTTCTGTTGCACCCACGTCAGCGCCAACGACTGCACCTTCGCCGTCGCCTACCGTGCTGGTTATCGAGGGCGCTTATAGCGAGTCGCCGCCGCCCTCAGTTTTTTGAATTGAGAAAACGCCGACGTGGCCCAAGTTCTACTGGATGGCTGAGCTTCTGGCCTGTGTGCTGCTCGAGCAGTTGCGATACCATTTTTGCAGACCGTACGCTAGGATGAGGACTGTTTTGCGCTCATGGGGGACTCTGGTTTTCGGACCGTTCCTTGCATCTAGGTCGGGGAACTTGTTCGTGGCCGAGGTTCGCCGTCACCAGACATGGTCTTTCGTTGTTTACGCGGCGCTCCTCATGGAAGCACGATGATTGTAACGCCTCCCGTGCTCCCAGCCAAGACCATCGAGCAGCAGATTTCTGGGGAGTCGTCGTCCGCCGACCAGCGCGGGAGCGTCCATCACCACCCACCAAACCACCCCAACCCAACCCGAAGCCCTCAATTTGCCTTCCATTTCCAGTGGGGGGGGGGGTCGGGGAACGTTGAAAAAACACATGGTATCCGTACCCCCCCCCAACCCGAAATTCGGGTCAAATTCGGGTCTTCGGGTTGGGTTGGGGTGGTCTGGTAGGTAGTCAGTCCATGGCGCTCAGAGTCAGGGGCATTGGTCAAACGAAGGTGGAGCGGGCCGCCAGAGTTCCAGGTGGGCCGTCGTTCCAAGGCAAGCCAGGGAGGCTTCCTGGAAACGCACGGGGGCATCCTTAAGTGGGGCTTGTCCCGCTACAGGGGTATTTTGGACAGAAAATCCGACATATTCCAAACATATTCAAACCATACCCCACAATACCCCAAAAATAGTCGCCAGGACTATTGTTGAATATTCCCCCTTTGGAGGGACACGCCCGACTTAAGGGCATCCAGGAGCTCCGAAAGCCCGCCGATCATTTCCCTAGTCCACTGGAGGCTCCTTGCAGGTTCGCCGATAGCCCCCGAGCACCTCCGAACGTCCGCATCAGGGGACTCGTCGAGGATGCCACCAGGAAACCTCTGAAGATCCGAGGAGGCTACCGAAGCCGCCCGAGAGAGCCTCCGAAGGGTCGCCGAGGGCCGACGGAACCAAGCGGGGGCTCGCGGTGGTCAGACCGAGAGAGCTGTTCCGGCAGGCCCAGGATCGGGATATATCGCTCTGAGAGCGTCCCCGCATGCTCGCAGAACGTTCCGGAACTCCCTGAGACAGCCGCCGCGCTCGACACTTCCCCCACAGCCGCTGGATCTTGGAAATCCCCGATTTATCCTTCTTCTCCACTTCCTCCTCCTGATTCTCCTCCTCCTCCTCCTCCTCCTTCCCCTCCTCCTCCTCCTCCTCCTCCTCCTCCTCCTCCTCCTCCTCCTCCTCCTCCCAGTCCAATTTTGTCCTGGCCCGAGGGCGAGCTGGGATGCAGCTCCGGGGAGATCAGATTCGGCATCTGCGTTTGTATACCCGTAGTGAGAGTGGCCAACCGCCCGCTCCGGCTTTGGCACGCTTGATCCGGCTTGATTCTGGCTAATCTGACATCCACCAGGGCAACAATCCAGCCTACATACACTGGCTTAATGGCCCCTGAATCGTGCTTAGTAGCCCTGAACTTGAACCGTTTTTACGAAGACCTCCCTGGAGTTGCCTCCCAAGGGCGATCTTCGGTGCAGCCACGGAATATAGACAAAGCTGGTTACATGACAACTTCGGGAAATTGTTCGTCTGTCTAAGATATCGGTGGCGGTATTTGTTTGTATCCGCCGCGTCTTCGACATGGATTCGACGCGGATTCGACGTGGATTCTTGGAGACGTGGATTTGATGCAGACGCGGCGCGATGGGACACACAGGGCCCCCTAGGGGGGCCACCACACAGACAGAACGACCTGAGGGCTTCGCCCCTAGCTACCCGGGGCAGGCCCCGAGGTGTGGCCCGCCCCCGGCGGTGCGGCGGTACCGCGCGCTCGCCCCCGAAGATGCAGCCGAAGAAGTGGGGGGCGCCAAATAAACCACGACCCGCGGAAACGGCCTGAACTCGGGAAAACAACCGTCCCCTGGAAATTCGGAGCCACGACCGTGGGAACTGGGACCGCGCCAGCCCGGGAACAGAAGCCTACGACTCTCAGAATGTCAAGAGCACGAGGCGTGGAAGCCTTCTGGGACGCTCGGAACGCGAGGTTGCCGTCGACAAGGTTCCTCATCTGGGAGACGCCCTCAGGGGCAGCGATAGGGGGGGTAGGCATAGGGGGGGGGTGCATCGACCCCCAATTCCCCATTGATCGCCGATAGGGGGCCGATAGCCCCGCCCCGCCCAGGAAGGTGCGGATTCATTCTCTGGGGGTGTTCGTTGAGGCATGTGCCAAGGAGGCTGCTCCAGACCACGGATGATTCCTTATCTGGTGGGGGCGGCGGTGCTATCCATGGCCAAGCCTCAATTGGTGGTCCCGTGGCTTCCTGACCCTGGATTCCGCCGGTTGGTCCACCGCTCCTCGGCGCGACACGCTATCCGCTTCCCAGTCTCTGATCGTCAACGTCCCGAGCCTTTCCCGACCTCCTGCCTCGCGTAGCGGAGCGACAGCGACACGCTATGCAAACGTTCCTGCTCGAAGGTGTTGGCACCAATACCTGTATCGACGGTGCGCTTCCACCGAAGGAAGATGATCCCGATCTCGGTGATGGCGGGAATATTCGGGCTTCCCGGGTGGCCGACATCTGACCACCAGGGTCGAAATCTAGGATCATTTTCTCCCGGTGGAGTCCCTCCCTTGTGTTTTTCCCGGAAAGGGCAAAGGCCCAGGGTTCTCTTTTAGTTTGTTTCCCCCCGGTTTTGACGGCTGTAGGGCCGGCGAATTTCTTTTGCGATAAATAACGAGGTCGCGTAGGGCCGGCGAATTAAAAATTGAGGATGTCCCTAGCGAAACGCTTGTTTTTCAGAATTTGTTGAGGATGTCTCGAGCGGAACGCTGGTTTTGCAGAGTTGGGGATGTCTCGAGCGAAACGCTTGTTTTCAGAATTTGTTGAGGATGTCTCGAGCGAAACGCTGGTTTTGCAGAGCCGACCGCGACACGGAAAAGCGCCCCGCGCGCAGGAATTCCGATGATGTCTCGCGCGTGCCGCGTCCCGCGCGCAGGAATTTCGAGGATGTCTCGACTAATTCGTTTGTTTTGCTAGGATTTCCTTGAATTTTGGCAGGATGTCTCGAGCGAAATGCTTGTCTTTCATAATTTGTTGAAGACGTTTCGAGCGAAACGCTGGTTTTGCAAAGTTGGGGGATGTCTCGAGCAGGGGCCTCGTGGGGGGCCTCGTGGGGGTCTAGAATTCAGAGGGTGTCTCAGGCGAAATGCTTGTTTTCACGTCCCGCTCGCAAGAATTCCGAGGATGTCTCGCGCGTGCCGCGTCCCGCGCGCAGGAATTCTGAGGATGTTGGCAGGATGTCTCGAGCGAAACGCTTGTCCCCAGCACGTTCCGTAGCGCGTCCCCTTGGCACGTCCCGCGGTGCGTCCCCATGGCACGTCCCTTGGCACGTCGCTTGGCGGGTCCCTTGAGACGTTCCGCGTCGCGTCCTCCTGGCATGCCCCCCTGTCCATTAGCTCTGGGGCAGCTACTATGTGTTCAGGCAGCTCGAGCTTAAGATCCAGATCAGTTCGGTCAGGACTCGGATGCAAAGGAGGACTCGATCCACGAGGCTATAGAGCACAATCGCGGCATGGCACATCGCAATTCAGCACGGTGCAGCACAGCACAGCCCTCGGCAGGGTACATCGAGATCGATACATTCAGCATTGCATTTGCCCGTCACCCAATCAGGTGTCTTTGAAAACGCTGCATGTGTTACAGTTCTATATTCCTTTCCGGCTTCGTGGGTCGATCATGTTGTTGGTGCCCGTTCCCAGGCCTCCGACTCTGGGCCCGAAGGGGATGGTGGCGGTGCGCACAGCACCCCCATTCCGAGGAGGGCGAGTGGAGATAGCGCCAGTCGGCCTTCCGGGGGCCCCCTCGTCGCCACGGCCAGACGCAGCTCGCAAAGCTGGTGCGTCTGGCTCCCGGAAGGGGTCTGGGTATCACGTTTGAGCTGCCGCTGTCTCAGCTCGCCCTGCTCCGAACGGACGGGCCACCCCGATGGCAGGCACAGGCGAGACTCGCCGGCGGGTGTTTCCGTGTGAATGTCTTCGTAGCGTCCCCCCCCCCCCGCCGCCTGGCTGCCTTGCGCGGGCGGGTGCGATTCGCTCTTTGCGCGGTGGGGCGTCTGGGGGCCATCTTGGGCGTCTTGGAACGATCGTGTGGCATCTCGGAGCACTCTTGAACCATCTTGGAGGGCTCTTGGCGGCCTCGTGGCCCTTCTTGGGGCTCTCTGGAGGGCCACGGGGGCGGCGCCCAGGAGGAAAACCATCTCTGACCCGAGTCTGCCGGGGATCGCCCGGGGTACTTTTCGTCCGGGGACCCCCAGGGGCCGCCCCGCGCGCGCGAAGTAGAAGTATTATTTAGCAGTTACCGGAGATCTTAGCACGCCTCTGGCCCGTTGGGCCGGCGAATTACGTGTGGTCCACTTGAGGCAGGGGCCACGTCAATAGACATTCCGGCAGGGACTGGGGCGCTCGTCTCGGTGGGCATGTGCTTTACTCTTGCGGGTGGGACCAACTCAGAGACGGTTTGCATTTCAGGCTTGGGGCAGGACCAGATGCAGCTGGTGAGCCCCACGCAGTTCGCGCACCCCGCTGAGTCAACGCTCACACTGTTGGAAGGCGTCTTCGCGTCTTCGAACACGACGCTTGCTATCACGTGTGGTCCACTTGAGGCAGGGGCCACGTCAATAGATATTCCGGCAGGAGCTGAGGCGCTCGTCTCGGTGGGCACGTGCTTTGCTCTTGCGGGTGGTAGTAACTCAGAGACGGTGTGCATTTCAGGCTCGGGGCAGGGCCAGATACAGCTGGTGAGCCCCACGCAGTTCGCGCACCCCGCTGAGTCAACGCTCACACAGTTGGATGGATTGGTTATTACGTGTGGCCCCCTTGTGGCAGGGGCCACGTCAATAGACATTCCGGCAGGGACTGGGGCGCTCGTCTCGGTGGGCATGTGCTTTACCCTTGCGGGTGGGAACAACTCAGAGACGGTTTGCATTTCAGGCTTGGGGCAGGACCAGATGCAGCTAGTGAGCCCCACGCAGCTCGCGTACCCCGCTGAGTCAACGCTTACACAGTTGGAAGGCGTCTTCGCGTCTTCGAACACGACGCTGGCTATCACGTGTGGTCCACTTGAGGCAGGGGCCACGTCAATAGACATTCCGGCAGGGGCTGAGGCGCTCGTCTCGGTGGGCACGTGCTTGACCCTTGCGGGTGGGAACAACTCAGAGACGGTTTGCATTTCAGGCTTGGGGCAGGGCCAGATGCAGCTGGTGAGCCCCACGAAGTTTGCGCACCCGGCTGAGTCAACCCTTACACAGTTGGATGGATTGGTTATTACGTGTGGTCCACTTGAGGCAGGGGCCACGTCAATAGACATTCCGGCAGGGACTGGGGCGCTCGTCTCGGTGGGCATGTGCTTTACTCTTGCGGGTGGGACCAACTCAGAGACGGTTTGCACTTCAGGCTTGGGGCAGGACCAGATGCAGCTAGTGCACCCCACGCTATTCGCGCACCCCGCTGAGTCAACGCTCACACTGTTGGAAGGCGTCTTCGCGTCTTCGAACACGACGCTGGTTATCACGTGTGGCCCACTTGAGGCAGGGGCCACGTCAATAGACATTCCGGCAGAGACAGAGGCGCTTCTCTCGGTGGGCACGTGCTTTACCCTTGCGGGTGGTATCGATTCAGAGACGGTTTGCATTTCAGGCTTGGGGCAAGGCCAGATCCAGCTGGTGAGCGCCACGCAGTTCGCGCACCCCGCTGAGTCAACGCTCACACTGTTGGAAGGCGTCTTGGTTATGCAGCTGCCTGCGGCGAGTCCCGCCAGTGTGCCATCCCAGCGTTTTTGGCGGCGACTGCTCGATGGGATCGGATATTGCAGATGCTGATGATGACGATGAGGCTGACGGTGATGTTGATGATGACGGCGAGGATGATGCTGCTGAGGAAGATGAGAATGATAATGAGGATGGCAAGGATGCTGATGATGATGATGAGGATGCTGATGAGGATGATGCTGGTGATGGCGATAATGATGCTGATGATGATGGTGATGGTGATGGTGATGATGATGATACTGATGATTATGATGATGCGGATGATGATGAGGGTGATGGGGATGATGATGCTGATGATGATAATTATGATGATGCCGCTGATGATGCTGATGATGACGACGATGGGGATAAGGGTGATGCTGCTGATAATGATGCTGGAGACGACGACGTTGAGGCTAATGGTGATGATGATGATGCTGCTGATGATGATGATGATGAGGATGATGATGATGATGATGCTGATGGTGATGATGATGGTGATGATGATGATGAGGATGATGATGATGAGGATGACGGTGATGGTGACGGTAATGATAATGGTGATGACGATGATGATGCTGCTGCTGATGATGATGCTGGGAATGACGACGATGCTGCTTCTTCTGCTGCTGCTGATGATGATTATATTGATGATGATGATGCTGCACATTATGATGTTGCTGATGCTGATACTGATGCTTCTGATGATGCTGATGATGATGGTGATGTCGGTGATGATGGTTCAGGTGATGCTGATGCTGATGCTGCTGATCGTGATGATGATGCTGATGCTGATACTGCTGCTTCTGATGATGCTGATGAGGATGGCGATGCCGGTGATGATGGTTCAGGTGATGATGGTGATGCTGATGCTGCTGATCGTCATGATGATGAGGATGATGATGATGATGCTGATGATGCTGATGATGATGATGATGATGATGATGATGATGATGATGATGATGAGGATGATGAGGATGATGAGGCTGATTAAGACGATGGTGCTGCTGCTGCTGATGATGAGGATGATGAGGAGGAGGAGGAGGAGGAGGATAACGAAGATAAAGAAGAGGAGGAGGAGGAGGATGAGGGGGAGGAGGAAGAGGAGGTGGAGGAGGAGGCGGAGGAGGAGGAGGACGAGGAGAGGAGGAGGAGGAGGAGGAGGAGGAGGAGGAGGAGGATACGGAGGAGGAGGAAGGCCGTCACATGTGATACCTTCCGTCTTCATTTCTGGAGGAGCTCTCATGGAGCTCATTTGGGCCATTTTGGGGTTGTCGTGGGATCCTGTGGGGCCGTCTGGGGGGTCCCGTGGGGCCGTCTGGGGGTCCTCCTGGGCCGTCCTGAAGCCCTCTTATGCAGTCTTTGGGCTCTCTAGGGCCGTCTTGGAGCCCTCTTATGCAGTCTTCGGGCTCTCTAGGGCCGTCTTGGAGCCCTCTGAGGCCGTCTGGAGGCTCCCTTGGTCTGCCTCGTGGTAGTCTTAGGTGGGGGGCTCTCTTGGGCCGTCTTGGGGCCCTCTTGGCTGTATCCGTCGTGGGGCCGTCTTGTCGCCGTTTTTGGAGGCTTCTTGGGCCGTCTTGAGCTGACGGAAGCTCGAAAAGGCGAGAATGCGAACGTCAGCACAAGCAATTTTAAGGATTTCGATTTCTTCGAACGGGGGTCTCTTTTGGCCCTCTTGGGCCCTCTTTGGGGCCATCTTGGGTTGTCTCGGAGGCGTCTTGGACCACCTTGGCGGCCTTGATTACCTGCCTCGGCCGCCTTGGAAGCTCGGGAGCGCGAATCTATTGTTCCGAAGGCAGTGCTTGCACTTAGGGGCTCTTACTTGTCTTCCTACCGAGTTGGGTGCGTGCGTGCAAGCTTCGCCCCGTTTCGGCCAGTCGCCGCCTGTTACCGCCCGCCGCCGCCCGCTGCCGCTTGTGTGGGCGTGTCGAGAACTCGCCGCGTTCCCGCCGGTTGCCGCCTGTTGCCGCTTGGGCGTGTGCGTCGAGGACTTGTCACGTTCTGGGCCGTTGCCCCCCCTTGCCGCCCTTTGCCGCTCGGGGTGGCAGCGTCGAGGAGCCGCCACGCTTGCTGGCCCGCTGCCGCCCGCTCCCGCCCGTTGCCGCTTGGGTGGGCGCGTCGAGGAGTTGCCATGCTCGGGCCCGCTGTCGCCTGTTGCCGCCCGTGGCCACCACACAGCTAACGCCGCAGAGTTGTCACTTCCATAAGTCACACCACATGGCTTACGCGGCGTAGCTTTCACCGCATAGCCTTCACCGCACAGCTTACACCGCATAGCTTTCACCTCCACCGCAAGAGTGCCTCCTTGCCGCGATGTTGCCGCCTCGTTGCTGGCCACCGCGCTTGGGGTGCCCCGAGATTTCGCAACGTTGCCGCCCGCTGCCGTAGTGTGGAAACTTTTTCCGTCGCGGCCGCAAGCGGAAGCGCAGGCGGCGTCCGAAGTCAGCCCGGGCTACGAGCCAAACCTAACTATCTAAGCGCGCGAACTAACGGCCGTCGAAACTGCCGACGAGGGACGCCGAGGAGCGACGCCGGGAACTGAAGGCAGAGCTGCAAGAGGTGCCAGGTGTGCCAGGCGGCTGAAGTGCAACCATTCCAAGGGCGAGACCACCGGGAAGGCAAATGAAAACTCTAGTGTGGAGACGCGAAGCGTCACGAATACGAACAGCTGGGTCGTGGGACGCAGCTTTCTGTCAGAATATCCGTGGACGCGAAGCATTGCCGCATAGCTTCCTCCGCATAGCTTCCTCCACATCTGTTCTACCACAGCTTGCACCACGTAGCGTCCACCACATAGCTTCCACGACATAGCCTCCGCGACATAGCTTCCACCACATTGCTTCCACCGCCAGAGTGCGGAAACTCATTGTATGGTGTCCACGCTGGCAAACATTTTGCACGAGGGATCGTGGCCTGGGGGAGGGAGGGCGATGTATGCAACTCATGCGGCTAGCGAGGGGGATCCTTAGAATTTTCCTTGAAAGACTACAAGGCAGCCCGCGGCATTGTACCTCGCCTCAACGTGCCAGGAGACGCGGTGGCGGATTACATGTGGCCCTCTTGAGGCAGGGGTCACGTCTATAGACATTCCGGAAGGGACGCAGGCGCTCCTTTCAGTGGGCATGTGTTTTATTCTTGCTGGTGGTAGCAATTCAGAGACGGTTTGCATGTCCGGTTCGGGGCAGGACCAGATCCAGCTAGTGAACCCCACGCAGTTCGCGCACCCCGCTGAGTCAACGCTCGCACTGGTGGAAGGCGTCTCCTCGTCTTCGAACACGACGCTGGTCATTACGTGCGGCCCCCGTCAGGCAGGATCCATGTCAATAGACATTCCAGCAGGAGCTGAGGCGCTCATCTCGGTGGGCACGTGCTTTACCCTTGAGGGTGGCGGCAACTCAGAGACGGTTTGCATTTTAGGCAAGGAGCCGCTCCAGTTCTTGAGCCCCACGCAGCACTCGTACCCCGCTGGCTCGACGCTGACACTGTTGCCAGCAGGCGTCTTGGTCATTTCGTGTGGCCCCCTCGAGGCAGGGGCCACGGCAATCGACATGGCACCAGAAACGCAGGCCCTTCTTTCGGTGGGCATGTGCTTTGACCTCGCGGGCGGCAGCAACTCGGAGACGGTCTGCATTCGAGGCTTCTTGCAGGACCAGATCCAGCTGGTGCGCCCCACGCAGTTCGCGTACCCCGCCGAGTCCACGCTCACACTGTTGGACGGCGTCTTCGAGTCCTCGCCAATCACTCTGGTCATGACGTGTGGCCCCATTGAGGCAGGGTCCATCATAATAGACCTGCCTGTACAGAAACAGGTGCTCGTCGCGGTGGGCATGTGCTTTTCCCTTGAGGGTGGCGGCAACTCAGAGAAGGTTTGCGTTACAGGCGTGTTGCCAGTGCAGCTGGAGAGCCCCACGCAGTTCGCGTACCCTGCTGGCTCAACGCTCACGCTGGTTATTCCAGTGGGTCCCATTGACGCAGGAGCGGTGTCGATAGAAATTCCATCCGAATTCCTGGATCTAGTTTCAGTCGGCGAATATTTTCTGCTCGAGGGTGGTGGCAACTCAGAAATGGTTTGCATTTCCGGCTTTGGGTCGATCCTGCTAGCAGAGCCCACGCAGTTCGCGTACCCCGACGACTCAACGCTATCAGGGCCAAAAACGCTGACAACGACGACGACATCAATGCCGCACGATCGCGACGTCACATCAACGACAGGCGGCTTCTCATCAACGACAGGTAGCAACCAGGCGAGTGTGCGAGACGACCCGCACGTGTGCACATTGAGCGGCGACTGCTACGATATTCGGGTGCCCTCCGAGTACACGTTGCTCCGTCTGCCTTATAACGATCAGGAGCCGGCCGATCTCCAGGTACTTGCTGACTTCGATACCGATGGCGTGCGGCCGTGCGGGCTGTTTGTCAAGCACATTGCGCTGACTGGATCGTGGCTCAACCATCAAGTTGTAAGGATTCGCCCCTACACTCGCGATGTTGGCGGTTCCAACTGGGCGGGGAGCAAGGTGATTACGAATTTTTCATTGCAGCTGGGCAGCTCCCCTTGGAGGTCCTTCACGCAGAAGGAGTCCCTTCAGGTGGTCGCGGTCGTCGGCCAGGTGACGGTGCGCTTCGTGTGGTCGGAGCAGTACGGCCAGCGCATGGAGGCCCAGAGCCTGCAGTTCCTGGTGGGGCAGGGAGCCCAGCCTGGGGTGCTCACCATTTCGCAGGCGTCGCACCAGGCCCTGAATCTCGACATGTTGGGCATGGGCCGCCTGGGCTGCTCGAGGATGTGACACAGCAAAGAGTGAGTCTTTTGTTTCCTCCCCACGGTGACGCGCGCTACCCGGGCCAACCGCCCCCTTGGGTAACCTACCGATTGTACTTGGGGGGGGGGGGGGGCCTGATGCTGTGGTGCACCCAGGCGGTTGATTCGCCGGTGGCGCGGACGCACCCTGTCGGGTGCCCGCCGCGCCCGCCGTCATTGCTATACCTTCTTGCCCGACCCCTCCCCCCCCGGGTGATCACTACTTTGCGCCGGGGGAAGGAAAACAACACGCTCGCAAACCAGCCTAATCACATGCCGTCGGAGGCCCGCGCGCGTTTCTTGGGTCGGCGCTGGGCCCCCCTTCCCACAGTCCCCCCAGCGCGCGCAGCGAGTGGTGGGCGGCGGCGCCGGCAGCTCCGCCCGGGGGTGGCGGGCGGGCGAGGGGGAGGCGGAGGAGGGGTGGGGGGAGCACCCGTTCGAGCGGATAATCCGAGTCGGGTGAGCTGGCCAGCAGTGCGCCTTCACGGTGCCCCCACAGCTGAAGCCGAGGCCAAAGCTGGAGGAGGAGGAGGAGGAGGAGGAGGAGGAGGAGGGGGGAGGAGGAGGAGGAGGAGGAGGAGGAGGAGGAGGAGGAGGAGGAGGAGGAGGAGGAGGAGGAGGAGGAGGAGGAAGAGGGGAGGAGGAGGATGAGGAGGAGGATGAGGAGGACGAGGAATGATGAGGGGGAGAGAACAGGGGGGTTGGAGTCTCTTGGGGTCGATAGTGCGCGCGTGAGACTTTCACACTGAGTTCTTGCGTGCGTCTCTGAAAGCTCTGTATGCTCTGTGGCGTCCTCCTCTCCTGCCTATTCCAGCCTATTCCTCTTCCTCCTCTTTCTCCTCCTTCTCCTTCCCCTCCTCCTCCTCCTCCTCCTCCTCCCACTGACCCTTACCTTCCTCCGCCTCGTCTTCTCTTTCTCCTCTTTGTTTTTTGCTCCCCCGCCCCCCTACAAAAAACAAAGCATACCATACAACATCTGGGTGGCCATCTCTCACTCAGATTTGTTGTTTGGGGTGAGGGGGCGGGCAGGGGAAAAGTTATCGTCCTCTTCCTCCCTCCCCTCTTCTTCTTCCTCCCTTTCCGCGTTCTGCTAAGCACTGGTAGGCCAGGTTAGTCTCTGCTAAGCCCTGATGAGCCTTGCTAGCCCTTCTCTGCGAATTCCTGCTGAGCCCTGCTAGCCCCTGGACCCTGCAAAGCCCTTGTGAACACTGCCGGCCCCTGCTAAGCACTGCTGAGCCCTGCTAGCCCCTGCTAAGACCTTCTGGGACTTGGTACGCATCCCTGCTGAGGCCTGCTAAGCCCTGTTCAGCCTTGCAAAGCCCTGCCAAGCCCTGCTGCTAAGTCACGTTGAACCTTGGTGGTGCCCTGCTAGGTAACTGCTAAAACGTGCCATGCCCTGCTACGCTTTGTCAAACCCTCCTAAGACATGCTAGGCCCTGCTAAGCTGTGGTACGGCCTGTCAAGTCCTGGTAAGCAGTGCAGACTCCTGTAGGATATTGCTAAGACGTGTTTAGCCTTGGTATGCGTTGTTAAGCTGTGCTAGGCGCTGCTCAGTCCTGCTGGGACCTGCTGTGCACTCGTACGTCCTCCGAAGCCCTGCTGAGCTCTGTCGAAGCTTCCCAGGTCCTGCAAAGCGTTGCAAAACCCTGCTGGGCCTTGCCGGGACCTGGCAAACCTTGCTTCGACATGCGTAGCCATGCTAGGCCATGCGAAGCCTTGCGAAGGCCGAGATGTCTAAGCCTTGCTAAATTGTGATGTGCCCTGCAGGGCCCTGCGAAGCCTTGCAACGCCTTGCAGAGCTTTGGAATTCTGCTAATTCCTGGAAGACTATAGTGAATGGTGTTAAACGCTGGTAGGCCAGGCCAAGGCCCTGTTAAGCCCTGATGAGCCTTGCTCGCCCTTGCTCAGCCCTGCCAGCCCCTGCTATGCCCTGCTTAGTTCTGGTAGACCTGCTGAGCCATGCTAAGTTCTGCTGAATCCTGCCCAGCCCTGGAAAGTACTGCTCGGCCCAGACAGCCACTGCAATGCCCTGCTATGCCCGGCTAGGCAGCGCGAAGCCATCGTAAGCGCTCGGCCTCGCGAAGCCAGGCTAGGATCTGTCAAACCCTGTTAAGCTCTGCTAAGTAGTGCTAACTAAGCCCTGCTGAGACTTGCTAGCCCTTGACGGGGCTCGCAAAACCTTGCTCGCCCCTCCTAAGCACAGCTAAGCCCTGCTGAGCCCTGCGAGGCCCTGCCAGGCATGCGCGTCCCAGGCTTGCGCGTCCCAGGTATGCATTCCATGTTAGCCAAAGAGACTATATGTATAGAGAGAGACACAGACAGAGAACGATAGCGATAGACAGAAAGAGAGAGAGAGAGAGAGAGAGAAAGAGAGGCAAAGAGAGAGAGAGAGAGAAATACATAATCAATAGTAATGGAGAAACCACGCAACATAAAGCAACACATGTATATATATGTATAAATATGTATATATACACATATATATATATAGATGTATGCACACACACAACACAGGAAATAATGCACCTGATGAAACGAGGGGTGAAAGCTCGAACAACTTTTCTGGAACGCATTACGAGGGATTACACAATCCCCTGGCTTCGAAAAGGGCGAGGAGGAGGAGGAGGAGGAGGAGGAGGAGGAGGAGGAGGGGTGCAGTGCCGACCCAAGAACTCCGCGCACATCTCTGAAAGTCTACGATGCACCTAGGCATGCAACGCCGTGCTTTTGTCACAGCGTCGCTCTCCAGAGGTCTGGACCTCTTCCCGGGGACGGGCTTTTCATCCCGAGTCGTTTTTGACGGCCCGCTGGTCCTGGCAAGTGCTCACGGCCCAGAGAGATTTTTTCTTATAGCGCGAGGACGTCATGATACAGTGAAGATGCCGTAAGAAGGTCCACTTCGGGCTCGGGAAGGGGCTCTGGTTTTTGGGCCGTTGCTTCGATGCGTGTCGTGGAGATCCATGAGTGGCCAAGGCCCGCCATGGCCAGAAGAGTCCCGTCGCTCTTGATTCAGCGCTCCTCACAGTAGCACGATGGCGTTCTCTCAGATACGACGTCGCGAAAACATGTAGCATCGCGAAAAAGCACCGCCATAGCCCGAGACCCTGCCTTTCTGCGCCCGTGGAGCCAGATCGGTCCATGACGGCCCCAGAGCCCGGAACCCGGCGAGAACGCACTGCGTGAAAGCGCTGCGACGCCCGAGTCTCAGGGCTCCTGCCTCTTTTCTGCCCCCTCGAAGGGTGGGGGGTGCGCTCGGCACCGAGGGGCACTCGACGGCGCTGGAGGAGCCCAGCCGCGAGTGCCGGGCGGCGGGGTCCGTCGACACCAGGAGGCAGAAGCGAGGGGCGGTGCAGCCGGAGCGCGCGTCGACGCTGAGGTCGAGGAGAAAAAAACACGACCTGAGCGACGAGCGAACAACACACACCCATGGGGAGGCGGAGGGGGCTGTGGGTGCGCGATGCCGGATGGGGCCCCCTGCTCGAACGGGAGCTTCTCCCCGGGGTCCGACAACCCGCACCCATGCCCATAGCTTGTCCTCCTTCTGTCGACCCCCCCTACGGGTATGACATGGGTGTGTGTGTTGCCTGTTCGCCAAGGAAGACAATTTCTCGGAGGTCCGCGCGGACCTCGTCGTGGATCGGCGCTGGGCCCCCCTGACGGCGCCTCAGGCGCCGCCCCTGGCGCGCCCCGCGCGCCAGGGAGGGGGGCCCAGCGCCGACCCACGAGCTCCGCGCGGATCTCTCGGAGAGCCTGTGCTTGTGCCGTTCTTGTTGTCCTCTCCGAGGGCGTCCTGGGGGTGAGCCGCCCGCGGCCTCGGACGTGCCCGGGCCGCCTGGCCGAGGGGCGCCGGCACGGGTGTCCAGATCTCCGAGGGCATCTGTGTTCGACCAGACGTAGGAGTGACCTTTCGCCAGAGTGACCTGGTCGTGCGGGCACAGATGGGTCCCCAGATGGCTGAACACGGAGCAGCAGCAGCTGCTTGCGCGCCCAGGTTTGGTCCCCCCGCGGCCCCCCAAAAGTCGCGCACCAAATCACCGAGCGCGCTCCACTACTCGCAAAGTGCCCACTCGCAAACGTCCGACAAAAAACACATGTCTGCTTCGATGTAATTTCTCGTAGATCCCCCGCGGGGGGATCCGGGCCATTTGCGAGTAGTTACTTTGCGAGTAGTGGAACGCGCTCGTCCACTGGGGTCCATGCTGCGAGCAGCAGC